TGGCAAAAACAAAAGTCCAAGTGGTTTATTTCCTATTCAAAAGGTCTTCCCAAAACGTGTTAAAGTTCATGAACTTAGGGGGGTAAGGAAGCTAGAATGGAAATCCGGGCGCACACGAACCCCCTGTCCAATTGCATGCTCAGGTTTGAATAAGTTGTTCTGGCCCAATCGGAGGGTGTGCAACCGCTGGCTTTGGAAATTCTGGTGCACAGTTTGAAAAAACATGCGAAAACATGGCCAAGCAAGATAAAACAGAACTAAGGCAAGAATGCAGCATCCGAATCATTGGCCAGATGCGCGGGATATCTAGGAGATCCTATTCCACTGACCTCTAAAACACTTGATGGCGACCTGAACAGACATAACACAGCTCGGAGTGTTCACTCACTCTTAATTCCGTTCTGAAACATGACCCCCCTGCCCCATCTTGCAGCAATGCAGGATTCATCCTCTTGTCCAGCAATAAGTGGATCACGCTCCATGCAGGTGCCTTTTTGGAGCGAGGGCCCCCTCTTTGGAGGGTGCTTCAGGAAAAAGCAAAGGAAGAACGTATTTTTCTGGGGTGACCCACATGCTAAGACAAACCCACAGGTACCTTCCAACATTTTGCGGAACGAGACTGCCAACATCTACACCGGATCAACCGGAGCGAGCCGAGCTGCGAGTTGTCATCGTCGAAGAAACCTGAGAAATTGCAACCCTCCGAGTTGCTTGGCAGATCTCCGCCCATTTTCCCGAGCATCCCAACACCTGAAATCAGAATTGGATCCCCAAGAATCGGATCCTTTACCACGGCTTTCGCTCCTGTTACCCTCCAAGAGAGCTAGCGCCATAAAATAGGCAGAGGCACTCGGTTGCTTTCTGCTCCCCTGCTACAAGTGCATAACTTTTAGTGGTTTAATTCGGAAAACCCATTAGTTGGCAAAAAATATTCAGTCCTAGCATCCCTTGGCAAAATGCACCAAAGGGCACTTGGCTCCTCAAAATGGCGCGCGTCACAAGTTGAGCCTTCAGAAAGGCAGCGCGGCGGTTCGAGCCGCCGCGAAACGCCAGGGCCAGCACCCGATTTTTTTTCAGAATCAGGACCCATGTTGCGCAATCCCGTGGCACAACAATCGGGGGGGGGTTCGGGGAGTTCAGGGGGTTTTAAGGGGTTTAAGGGGTTTAGGGGGTTAGTACAAACGGCTCGTTTCACCGAATGGTGAAGGAGGGGCAAGGGTGGAACCTCTATAAGGGTACAGTAAGTTTCGTGAAGGACGCAACGTTCCATGGGAGAAACCTGAATCTCAGTGCCTTTCACCAAGCGTTTTGCTCACATGGATGTGAGCAGGGCCAACCCAGCCTCGTTTCCCGGATGCGCAACCTCTGCCGTCGCAGAGAAAAATTGGTCGCCAGAGCTCTCCGGGGGTCACGTCCACGGCGTAGCAGGAATGCTGTCAATTCTTAGCAACCGGAAGGACAAAGGGACACCTCTTTAACACCTAAGGTCTACCCCTTTTTTGTGTAGTTTATTTCAGTAGGGAAATCTTTGGAAAAAAAAGAGTACAAGGGCGCTACTGGGGGACCTAGACACGATTCAATCGGCTTCCAGTGGCTGGCAACAGGCCGGCCCATTCTACTGCGGGACCTAGAGCTCACTTCAGTGGACGCGCATATATCTTTTTAAGGAAAAAGCTCTGAGCTTTGGATTTCAAGAGGGGATAGCCCAAGAAACCGTCCACCAAAATGGTCCAAACCCAAAAAAGTGGTCCAAACCCCAAGTCCAGGAACTGAAGCGAGAGAGCCAAAGTGACAAAAAAAAGAAGGGACCACCCAGCGGAAGGCGAGGCCCAGCGAACGCACCCACCACCGCCGGCGAGTCCTTCCGCCCGGTGGCTCCGCAGGTCCTCGTAGAGCTGTTCGTCGCCCCCAGGCGCGTGATACCTCAGGCGACCGCTGGGCGAAAAGCACCAACAAAAAAAAGCGCCGCCAGGGTTGGAAAATGCTCGGCCATGGCGGTCAGGTGGGCTTGCCCCAGGAGAAAAAGAAAAACAAGAAAAGCTGGATACCCCAGCAAGGAGCGGGTTCCGTGGACTCAGCAAGACAGCGAAAGTGCCTGGCTTGCACGTGGAATTCGGTTGGGGTAGGACGTCAAGGCACCACATCGACATTGCTAAATCATCTGCCCTATGACTCACTTCCTGAGTAAACTGGCCAGAAAAGTAACCAAACTTCTGCTTGCCACTAAATGGTCATCATGGTCATGCCAAAGACTTGGCATGTCATGAAACTAAACTTTTTGCTTGCCAGTCACTAAAACAGTGGCACCCTATACTTCCCATCTCAAAACATCCCCTCCAGGAAGGGAAGCTCATCTGAAAAATGGGCAAAACAGGTGAGGCTCAAAACCACCAAAGAGGAAAAAATAACTCGGGACCCCTGTAAAATGGTCATCCCAACAAGTGACTCAAGTCCAAAATTTCTCCGGGAGTGAGATGAATCTCGGTCCTGCAGGATCCCCTTTCAAAAAAGTTCATCGCCAATTTGGACCACAGCTGGTGCAGGTCTTACTCTAGGTCCTCCATTTCTTTTAATCCTGACTTAGATCAAAGTATTTTAGAACCACTTCTCAATACCTCATAGATGTAAACCAAAACTCAATACTTGGCTAATTTAGCTTTCTTCGTCCATCGTTATCAATAAAAATAGTATAATATAGTATAGGAATATTAACCTATTATCCATCGATTACGCTTTTCAGCCTCACCTTAGGACCTGACTTACCCTCTGCGGACGAGCCTAGTAGGGAGGTTAGAATACGGGTACCAACTTTTTTCGGTAATCAATTTTAGTAGGGAAACCCTCCCCAACCCAAAAAAGGGGTGAGAAAGTTGGCACCTAGCTGCCTAGCTGAACCTAGTACTTTAAACACCTTCTGTACCAACAGGGTTCCCATCCCCACGCCTTAAGTCACTTGGGCCCCACGGCAACGGAAGAGAGTCGTTCCTTGGGATCCCACTTCCAAATCCGGCTCCGTCAACCTCCCAAATACCTCTGCGTCGTGCAAGAACATTTATGTGGAAAGGTGATGTTCTTCTTGTCCTTCTTCTTTTTTCCTTTTTCCTTCTTCTTCTTCTGCTGCTGCTTCTTGTTTTCTCAAAGTCAGCTCATGCGTGCAGGACGCCCCATGAAAAACCACACTGACGCCCTTCCGAAGCTCGAAAGAATGCATCTCGCAGAGAAAGCGACTTGCCTGCGTTTCCTTGCAATGTAAGACCCTTCCAACCTCTTCCAACCCATTTCCCCCCCCCTGGCATGGACACCTAGAGTCGATTTTTCAACCATACCCTAAAAAACCAATACCCTCAAAGGAGGTGGTTGCAAAATAGACCCTAAGTGTCCACCATACCGCCCCCCCCCCCCCCGCCTCCCCCGTTTTGCAGTCCACCCCGCTCTCCCCGAAATCCCAAATCCGGCAACCACCAACAGCGCCCTCGCTTTGCCGAGCGGCTCGGAGACGTCGAAGATCTCCGAGCGGCTCCCGTGGAAGAACTCGATGTAGCGCTTCAGCTCCCGCGCCGTGTGGGACTTGCCCCGCATCCTCGGACCGACGGCTTCTCTTTTTTTCATTTGGCTGTGGTTGTCAAAAATATGTCTTTGGCTGAGGGTGTTTATTTGGCTGTTTTTATTTGTTTTTTGGCTGTGGGTTTTGATTTGGCGGTGCTTTTTTTTTGGCTGTGGGTTTTGATTTGGCGGTGCTGTTTTTTTGGCTGTGGGTTTTGATTTGGCTGTTTCTTTGTTTTTGGCTGTGGGTTTTGATTTGGCTGTTTATTGTTTCTTGGCTGTGGGTTTGATTTGGCAACCCCAAAATGAGTTGGAAACAATGACTCGAACCTGTGGTCCAATTCCTGGTGGTTTAATTGTTTGACCCACACCCATTTGCGCCGACGACCGGTTTTTGGGTTTGGAGTTTGGAGTTGGGGAGATGGTGCCCGTGAGCGCCAGGTGAAGGACCTAAAAGTCCGCCGTCAGAAACAAGGTACACCTAGGCTGGAACTAGAACCCCAGCAAAAAACAAGTTGTTTGGTCTGGTTAGTGGAAAACAAAGCGGACCCCCAAAAAAAGAAGAAACAAAAAGGGGAGCTAATTCTGGGAAAGGTACGCCTGGGCTGGCGAGGCCTGCAACCCCAAACCCCAAAACAAGCCCCCCCCCCAAAAAAAAACAAAAACTGGGCACCTCTCATGTGCATTATTCAGCCCCGTCCGCCAGTCCCCGTTTTAACGCTCGTCTCTCGCGTCTCTCGCGAGCCATCGCCAGTGCATGGAAGCCTCGGCAGGCCCAAGATCGGCGCGACGTGGCGCTGGGACCACTGCTGCCTGGCGAGGTGGTCTCGACCGGCACAGGGGAGAGCCCATGTTTTCCACTCACTTCGGCGTTGGCGCGAGAATGTCAAAAGAAGAGAACCCAACGGCCAAATGGCGTTTTCTTTCTTCTTCTTTTTTATGCGGAGTGTCGGTGAGAAGCGCCAAGTGAGCAACAAGTTGCAGCTCTCGCAAACCGCGCACGTAAAGAGAATCATGTCGGAATCCGATGCTGCGCCAGCCAGAGACTACCAACGGCCTTTTGGGGAGTGTCTTTCTTTCAAGGGACCCGCCAAGATGGTTTCGGTCTTCCTTTTTCCTTTTGGTTTCCCTTTGAAAACCACCAAGGAAGGGGTACCAACTCCAAAAGAGACAGACCCATACAAGCGCGCGCGCAAGCCCATGTGTGGCCCCTTCGCCAGTTGCGGTTTCAACCGCTCCGAATGCTCACCACGGCGTGCCTCTTGCATACCCTTAACATCCGGAAAGTGGCCACCCCCTTTTAAGCTCATTGATAAAAGAAGAAGCCACTATGTGGAAAAGACGAGAGGTCTTGAAAACTTTACTTTCCTAAAGGATTCGGTTCCAGGCGCATCATGCTCACACCTTTTTCAACCACAGCGACTTGGCCCCATGGGGCCGATGCAAAGTTCGCCAGATCACAGCAGGCGGCCAGCTGACCTGGGGCGAGACGAGTGGCAAGAGCACACGTGCAACCCCTGGTTTTGGTTCAAGTTGCGACCTACAACGTAGTTCTTGTTGCGATTTCGACCCTTGTAGGCTAGGTCAAGGGAAGCCCAGTTCTTTCTTGTTGCGATTTTGACCGTTGTAGGCTAAGTCAACGGAACTGCTGTTATTTTGGTTATTTCTTGTTGCGATTTTAGACACGGTTTCAAGGTTCAGCTTGACGTTAAGGATTCCCAATGAGGACCCCCCCCCCTCAAAATCAACCAGGAGGTCGATCTCTACGGGGTTTTCATTTCAAGTTGCCTGAGAAGTGGGCATGTAGCACGCATGGCTCGATTTAAGGATCAGGGAGGGGTGAAAAGCTGTAAGGGTAGCCGAACTGCCTGGGTGGATGCTAATGAAACCAAACTGAAAATGTGTCTGTTTTAACGAATGGAATCAACTCGTCCTGAGCTGTGTTGTTTGCCCGATGTCGCAAACCAAAAGCCCCAAGATGTCGCTATGAAGCCATTGCTGGCGCACCGATTCTACATCGGAAATCGTGTGTCCTTCCTTCAGCAGGGTCTCGTTTATGGAGCACCTATTTGATTGAGTCTTCGGGAGAAATAAATCATATTTCCAGTAGCGATACAGTCCCCCTCAAAACCAGCAGGGGGACATGAACAAACGTCTTCTCAACTGCCCAACCATTGGTATGGGAACAAAACCACTCTTCGTTTGTGCAGCCCCGAAAGAACAGAACCCAAAAACCAAGACAGATCTAAAAGCATGCAAACAACAGTGAAGGATTTGTCTTCACACGGACTGCCAAAAAAACACCATGAAGTAGTTAAGCAAACCGATCCGTCCTCCGTTGCCATTTCGGTCAGAACTTCTGCGTTCCCAGCTGCTCCATGGCCCGCTTGACCATCTCAGTGTGGTCAAAGCCGTCCTTCGAGTTGTCCACCTGGCGCCGAGTCGCTCGCGGCTTCGAAGTCCGACGTGGAGCTGGACCGCCCGGTGGGGAGCGGGGGGGAATATTTGAGTAGCGGAACCCTCCCAATCAAAAAAGGGTGAGAGGTCGGGCACCTAGCTGGGGGACCTAGTTGACGTCAGTGCCAGGAGACTTCCCGCGCACCCGCGCAAGCGCGCATGCGCGGGGCAATGGGAGCGAGCAGCAAAAAGCCCGGGACTTCAGCAAGCGGTCTGATTCCCCCATTTCAACTAGAGACACCCCTGTGAGTAAACTGAGGTCGATGCATCTGGGGTACACGTTACCCCTTCTGAAGATCCGAGGGGAGATTGAGGATTGAGGACTGCTGAACTGCTCCACATTTAAGCCACTGCCAGAATCGCGGCCAGGCGTCATGGCATGACGCCATGACGCACTTCGCAACTTCCGCCCGCTTTTAGATCCACGAACCAAGGTGAGGGGGCGGGTGCCCTTTCGGTTTAAGAAGGAGGGCCAAACGGAAACCAGGCTGTTCATCAGGGGACCAATTCCTGAGGGCCCCTCATGTGAGAAGAACCCAAATGAATCCCTCGCCTTTGATAAATACTTCCGTGGGTCAAACTCCTGTGCACCATCGCGGATCCGACCATGACCATCCCCTAACCCGCAGGTCTTGCCACCCACAATTTGACGCCCCCCCCCCAACCCCCACCCCAACCCCCACCCCAACCCCCACCCCAACCCCCACCCCAACCCCCACCCCAACCCCCACCCCAACCCCCACCCCCACCCATGCCTGCTCATAGCACATAAGCGCCCCCAGGGCCGCACGCACTGCCTCGACCTGCCCAAAAACGAGCGGCAGCACAGGGACCCAAACAAGGACCCTGCCATATCTAGTGCCGCATGAAAGAGGAGCCCTGCCTTTTGACAACTCTCATGTGCGCCTCTCGCATAAAATATGGGACCGTCTGGGTGGTTGTCATTTGGTCTCCTTTCCACAAATCTCCACGAGCCACCCATGTGCCAAAAAAACAAAAACAAAACAACAAGCCGGGGGGCTCAGGCCGGTGACTGGTTTTGACGGTCATGCTGCCCTGAAGCATCACCCAACTCCGGGCATTGGTCCCAAAAGTGCGGGGATCCCAAATAACTCGATCCCGGAGTGATTGGGATCCGGATCCGTGGGGTGTTGGGGTTTTGTGTTGGAAAGTTGCTGGCAAAGGGCTGAAATAATGTTAACCCCGGATTAAGCAGAACCCCTGGTTGATTTTGATGGGGAGGTGTCCAATTCTTTTTAGTGGTTGGATTCAGACCACTTTTGGAGGGGTCCCACACCCCCATATCAATGGTATAGGTTCTACTTAGATCCTGGGTCAGCATTACCTTCCCCTAGATCACATCGGATCCAGGTCCCGCAGTATGCCGGAGGGTAGCAAGCGGCAGGTCACTTCGTCGAGTGACAGCCCTCCATGTGGCTGTGGCTCAAAAAACCGGTATTCCAAAATGGAACCTTGGTAAGTGGAAACATGGACCAAAACCCGCGCAACCCCTCATGTCTAATTTTGAGCCACAGCCATTTGAGCTGCTATCTGCTTCTTACTGAGCATACAAGTTGTCAGGGGCCCCGCAGAAATAGCCCCCAACTGCAATCTCCCCACTGATGCCGATCATGCCGATGCAAGATCGCTTCAGCTCATGCCACCCGACATGTTCCACATAGTTCCAGGCCATTCTTTTCAACCATCGTTCTCTCCAAAAACCGGATCCGTTTTCCCTCGGTTTCCGGAGGTGTCTCGAAAGAAGGATCCCTGGACTTGGCTGGAATCAGGACCCCGGCTAAAAAATATCTTTCTTGCCTGGTGAGTGGAAAACAAAAAGGGAGCCAAAAAAGATCAAAAAAAAAGGCAAAAGGGGGAGCCAATTCTGGTTGGAAGTAGAATCTTGGTTGCTGTTGACCCCTCTGCAAAAAGTCTATTTTTTGGGGGGTTTAGTTCGGAAAACACCTTTATTTCAACCAAAAAGTTAAAGTCTAAAGATCCGTTGCCCAAGAGCAGTCAAGGAATGGTCCCTCCACGGGGCAAGCTCCTCGCGTGCTGTCACTCCACCTCCGCTGACCCGGCCTGGTCTCCTGGCGTGGTGTCCGCGGTGGAGGCAACCAGCTCTTCCAGCAGCTCATCGCCCGGACGGCAGCGGTCTGGCGAGTTGGTTTTTTAGTTTGTGTTGGATTGTTTTGGTTTGTTTTGGTTTGTTTTGGTTTGTTTCTTTTTTTTGGGGGTTTGTTTTTTTGGGTTTGTTTTAGTCGATTGTTTGGTTTGTTGGTGTCTTTCTCTTTCTTTCTTTTTGCGGGGAACGGGCTGAAGCCTCACCGGTTTTAGCAGAGTTGCCGCGAGGCTTTGTCTCCAGAAAGAGGGATTCGATTCTCTCTGGCTCCCCTGGTTAAATTGGTGTGGGTTCCACCATGGCGCGCCCAAAGCCAATGGCGAAAAGGCGCCCTTGTTTCCAGGGTTGATTCCTTTTCCATTCTTTTCAACCATCGTCTTTTCAAAAACCCGCTGCTTCCCCTGGGTTGTTGATGGATTCCTGAAAAGATTCGGATCCCTGGCCTAGATTGTTGCCAACTGGAGCTGGCCTGGCCACGGTTTTTTGGATGCCTTAGGCCTTAGGGCGGGTCCTAGCTGGCTGTTCGTCTTAAGGAAGGGATGCCCTTTTCACCCGTGTAGGGAAAGATGGGAAAGAACAGGAACACCACGAATTCTTGGGGAGCCCCGATTTTGACGCATATCCTATCCTAGCTTTGCGCAGGGCTTTCGGTCCAGGTAACAAACCAGGCCTGGAATTTGCGGGCTGATTGAATTTGCCGCTTCGGCGTGGGGCCGAACCAGTCTCTAAGCCGGTGAGCAAAGAAACCCCAGGTCCGTCCCCCTAAGACCTCACCTCCAACCCCCCCCCTTCCGCACTCCGGGGTTTGCAAAAACGGACGGCGATGGCTAACAGCAGAGTGCCCAAACGGCTTTTGGGAACCATAGGAAACCCAATGACTTGTGTCCTCACATCAAGAGCGTTGCCAAAGTACGCTTGAATTACCTTCATCACGTCCGAAATCAAAACAAAGCAAGTCATAAAAAACAAAGAAAATTCAGCATAAACAATACATAATTGCGAGAATGCTGAAGTCCATTGAGTCTGCTTTCTTGCAAATACATGCTGCACGTGGTTGCCACCATGGTGGCTACGTGTTTTAAAGACGCCGAACTTGGAGTGGACGCCTCTGCCTAGCGCCCGGACCCAGGCCCCCGAAACAAGCGAGGCGTGGACTTTTGGAACGCCAAGCTGCCGGACCACTGCTGCTGGTTGCGCCACCACTTCCTCGAAACATTGAGAAACTTGGCACAGAAATCTCTCTCTCTCTCTCGTGCCAAGGGTGCGGATTTACTTTCGGGATTTTTTGTTTGTTTCGTTTCCCCCCCCCTTTTTTGTCTTGGCCGGTAAAATTACAAATGTCGTATTGCCCAAATGCAGTTGCCCTCTCTACCCCGGAACCGGCAGAAGAAGCGCCTCCGACGCCCTTCTTCTTCTCCAGCTTGCGTGGGCCCCGAAGCTGCCGGGTGATTATGGGGAGCAAGTGAGACGTGAGCGGTGCGCCCAGAGAAACTCGGTGGCCGAATCTGCGAAGCCCGGCTAAAAGTGACTAACTTGTAGCGGCTTCAATTCGGAAAACCCACCATTAGGTGGCAAAAAAGTGATTCAGTCCTAGCATCCAAATGCACCAAAGGAAAAATGGACCTGAGTGGCCAGTGAGGGGTGTGGGAAGGTGCCTAAGGCTCCAAACCCAAGCCAACATAGTTCTCCTTTTCGGGGGTGAACCACTGGGTTTAAGTCTACCCCATCAACAAGTGGAATGGATCCAATGGTCACACAGGACCAGAACGGCGATGAAACCAGGTAGCATTCTAAATTCTACCCATTTCTAGGCGCAAACACGGCCCAGAGCCTTTTTTTTGGACTAGGACCCCGCAGCTTCCGGCCTGTTGGAGTCTTAACCCAAAACAAATCCACTTCAATCCATTCCTGGAGGGGGGGGGGGGGGAAAAAGAAGAAAAAAAACGTGAAAAAAAGAAGAAGAACTAAAATCCCCCTGCCACCTCCCCACAACCACCTCCCCACCTCCACCCACCTCCACCCACCTCCACCCCCCGAAAACCGCCCCTCAACGCGATCCAAAGCGTCAGGAGCCGCATGGTCACCTTGGTGGCCGGCGCCAGCCGCGCGGCGCCGCGCTGCCGCCGCTCCGCGCCCAGGGCCAGGGGGCCGCTGGGGGCGTCCAGGGAGAGGCGCACCTCGAAGCCTGGCGGTTCGCTCGGGGCCCGGTGACTGGGGGGCCTGGCCAAAAACTCCCAAAACGAAGAAGAAGGATCTGAAAATCATAAACCCCTCCCAATGCTATATCTTTTGGGGGGTCCGTTGACCAGGTCCTCCAGTAGTTTGAGCTTAGAAAAAAGGGTACCCGATTTTTGTTCGGTCTATTTTGGTAGGGGAAGCCTCCCACAAAAAAAGGGTACAGGGCCACGACTGGGGGGCCCTTGATGAAAAATCCACCAACCGACGTGTGGCGCCCCTGGCCCAGAACCGTTGCAAAGGCCTCCCGGCCTCCCAGCTATGGCCCTACGTCTTCCGTGCAATAAAATGCGCGGGCTGGAGCTGTGGCGCACTGTGGTCACACCCATGTCGACCCCGGATGTGCTGCGGGGCCCTTCCCCCCAAAAAATGGGCCGGGGGGTGTCCCCGAAATACATCCCGCCTGCAAGACTTTGCACAGCTTCCCTCTAGTTGGTGGGGCCAGAGGATCTTTGGTGGTTGAGGATGGCCTGCTACACGAATCAAGGGGTCAAATCCGAATCCAAGCCACCCATCCAATGGTCCAAACCACCAACTAAGGGTTACCTAATTTGCGCAAAGGATCAAACCCCCCTTTCAGCCAGCAGTTCAGTGCACAGGGATCTTCTGAAACAGCTATTTTGGCGAACAAGTAAACTCCGCAATTGCCCCACACCCAAACCAGCTCTATGTTCCATGCTCATACTATGTATGTATGTTTAAAAAAATACATATCATTCACTCCCCCCACCCCTGAGTCAAGTCAACGACATGTCAGGGCCTGGAAATCGCAAGCGCACCGAGTCGCCCACCACCTCGGCAACAGCGAAGGCTTTTGCCCGAGGGGAAAGGAGAGGGGGTAGTTGAGGAGCCTCTGTTCCTTAGGGTTCCCCACATTTCTTTGGGGAGGTTTAGGGAACCCGTCTTGGACCCTGCTGCTTAGGGATTCGATAAAACAACCACTCGAGCCAAGCCCAGCCGCTTGCAAGCCGAATTTTAAACGGCTGCATTAGATTGTCCTGCTCGTTGTTTAGCGAAGTTTGGAGCCGAAGCCAGGTGGTTTGAACGTGAGATTCCCTCTAACTGGTGGTTTGGTGGCTAAGGAGTGGTAAACCTCATTTCCCCTATACAAGAACCAGAGTGTCAACTCCGAAACCACCAATCCAAACCACCAACTAAAGGTTCCCTGAATACCTGACGTTGTCCCCTGGGGGGAAGAACAAAAAAAAGGAGCAGCTTCGCGTAAGCCAACTGTTTAATTTGAGTCGTGGGGCAAGCAACCCCATTCAGGACAATGTTTGGCTTCCGACCCACCCTACACCAACAAATGTTGCAAAACGGTCTTAACGACTGGCCTCTGGAAACCATCCGGGAAAAACACAGACACATATAGTGTACATATACATATACATACGCACACACACACACACACACATATATATATATATATGTGTGTGTGTGTGCCTCGCAACCTCGCACGCACGCAGCCACTTACCTATGTACGCTCATAACCCCCCCCCCCCCCCCCCCTGCTCCCAAGTACCCACAATAAACCGTGTTTGTGAATCACGGCCGGTATGTCACCTTCTGGAATTACATTCGGGATTTACTTGCTGGTGCCCAGTAGAAATGACCAGGGTGTTGGCAATGAACCTAAGAATTCCCTCAAAGGAAGCCAAATCAATGAGGGTTTATAGGGATCCTATGCTGAGAAACTGCAAGTTTAGGAAGAGGTTGATGGGAACCCCTCTGGGCGACTCCGGACTCCGGGCGCCCGCGCGGACGCATCTCCGGAGCCCATGTCCTCAAATCAGACGAGAGGATGCGACCTCTATGGATCCACCGAAGTTTGAGTGCCACTCGAGGTTTTGATTTCAAGACTCTGAAATCCACGTTTCCAGTGTAGGAACAAAATGCCCCAACGCACTGCCGAGCAACACCAGCGTGTTTTAAACAGTGCCCTTTGTAGGTATATTCCGCACGCCTGTCCCACCCCCTGAACCACCCCCATTGGACCCCCATCTTGTGCCCAAAGCCGCAAAGCCTTTCGGAGGCAGCTTTCGGGGCAAGTGTTGGCAACAAATCGCAGACGATCCAAAGAGTACCCTTCCTCCCATTGCCATGGCAACTGACAAAGGGTACCCGGAAGATCAGTTTCCTCTTGGAGGGACCCCTGTCAGGTGCTATGGCAATGTGGGAGGGAGGATATTGGCACAGCCGACGGTTTACCCTTCCACTTGGCTGGTTTCCTTTTAGACTCCTGGCCGTCTAGCCCCCTTTCTTGCCAAGCCTGGCCATCCCTCCTCTCGACCCACAGCCGAGGCTGGAGGGGAGGCCCGCTTTGGGAGGGTTGGAAGTCTAGCCGAAGCCTGGGATCCCCCGCAACCAACCCTAGAACAATCATCCAAACCGGTCAGGTGACATAGCTCTTGACTGGGCTGTCCGTTTTTTCAGATTCCCCGCGAAAAGTTTAGCTGGTGAGCCAAATTCGGAAATCCGACCACCAAATCAACTAAAAGGCCAAAAACCTACGGAACCCAACCCCAAGTCGAGGCCGAAAAGACTCGATCCTTCTGTCCTGCAAAGCCACGACCAGGGCCATCAGCAAGGGCGGCATCCAAGTACCCCGCTCCACCTCCGGCATGCCCTTCACCACCAGCAGCGCCTCGCCCGAATTTTCGTCTCGGCGATGCGTCAAACCCGCCGGTGGGGAAACGGAACCAAGCACCCCATTTTTGCTGGGGACAAGAAGCTCAAACTTTTCAGGAAACATCCTCTGCCAACTTCCTTCGACGCTTTTTTGGCTTCAGCTTGTCTTCGTTTCACCCCAGTGCCCCCAGGCGACGGCCAACTTCCCTTCCCTGAAGCCGAAACCCGAAGCCCTTTAACCGGACATGATGTGCAGGGTGGCTCCCCACCTGGAAACCCCTTTGGGTGTGGCTCAAAAACTTGAAAAGACCTAGAACTGCCCAGGGTTTTGTTTCGTTCCGTGCTTCTTTCCCATTTCGCAAAAAAGGGAAAGCTATGGTTTCCGGCCACACACGCCCCTTTCTCCGCCCTGCTTCGTGCTTTCCTTTCCATTTTTGTTGCCCCCTTTTTTTGGTGGGGGCGCCGCGGCCCCAAATTTTTTCCCCCACCCAAACCGCTGGTCCGCCGCGAGGGCGAGGGCCTCGGAGTCCCATGCCTTTGCCCCCGCCTCCGCGTCGCAGCTGCCCTCCACGGCGGTGCCGCGGCCCACCGCGCCGCCGCGGAGCGCCTTGTGCACGCTCAGGAAGCTGCCTGGGGGCGGGTGGAGGTTGGGTGGGGGTGGAGGTGGAGGTTGGGTGGGGGTGGGGTGGGGGTTGAGGTTGGGTGGGGGGGTGGGGTGGGGTGGGTCTGTATGAGGGTACCCTTTTCGCATGGAATTTTAGAGGGCTGGCACGGTTTTACCAAGAAGCCGGTGTGAGGCAATGATATCGTGGATTTCAGGGAGGACGCAAGGAACCCCCAGCCCATTTCGGCGGGTTTTTGTCTCCGATTTTGAGGCCTTTGTTTGCCATGGAACGCAAAAGTGGGGGTTGAAACGCACCCCCCCAAAACAAGGCACGTGTCTCCCTTTCGTGTCCTGCCAGTGAAATTTGCAGGGGCTGCATTTTTTAGGATGTATCAGGGGGTGCCCTTCCACTCCTGTTTCCAGGTCAGAAGGCTACTCGTTTGCTGGGACCTCGCTCACCAGCAGGCGCAATACATAAAATTGCATCTGAACTAGGGAATTTTGGTGGCCATCATTTAGATGATGAGGATTTACCGTCCACTGACCACTTTGCAGGGAGGGCATTCTTGAATTCACAGCCATACGGATTGTTTTGCAGCTGGTGGGATGAAACCGACGGGGACTTCCTGTGAAGCAAATGCCAGGGAATATTTTGCCACATGCTTTTAGCGCCTGCGTGCATCAAGCCGCACGTAGTTGAACCACATGCGGGCAACGAAAAGTCTGGTTTCGTTCTTCGCGTGTGGGTCAAAGCTAGGCTCCCAAAAAAGAATCAACCCGGGCAAATGGAAACAAGGACTAGAACCTGCGCTCCGTACCCTGGCGCTTTAATTTAGACTTCCTGGGTTGCTTTGAAGGGAAACCAAGGAAAACAACAACAAACAACACACACCCACCAAAAAAAAACTCAAAACAGAGAGACAACAACATGATCCTGTATAAAGTAATATATATATATATATATAATCGCGGTATTTTTCTGGCAGACGAACTCCTGAGTTCCCCCAGCGACGTTTCACCCCCGGGGCCAAGCTGGCTTGGCCTTCCGTGGCGGTCTTGATTGCCGTCTCCAGAGCGGCGGAGGCCTCCTGCCGGTGCAACCAGCGAACGACGGAGAATGGATGGTGAAACACAATTTGTGATATACGAACGAGTATATATATATATGTCTGTGTATATATATATATATGTGTCTGTGTGTATATATATATATATGTCTGTGTGTGTATATGTATATATATATATATGTGTGTGTGTGTGTGTGTGTCTGTGTACACCAAAAAAAGGTGTGTATATAGAGAGAGGGAGATTATGTGTGCGTATCCTGTGTTTAGAACCTAAACATCTGTACATACATAACATAAACATGCATTTATATAATAAAATTGTACACATATACATATATATATAT